CCTCAGGCCAGGCATTGAAGATTCCCCCGGGCAAGCAAGACCTGGTTTCTGCAGATTTAGAGAAGGCCTGGTTCTTGGGAAAAGGTGCTAAGGTATTTGGGGGAACTGGGGCAGGCGAAGTCCTCGGGACTCAAGTTGGAAGGAACTGGATAGAGGCCCTCCAGTGGCCCAGTGCAATGTGATTTGGTAATGTAGGTATTAGAGCCATGTCTGGAGGTTTTGGGTGACTGATGATGTAGATGGATCACACTGAGCTACTAGCTGGATAAGCATACATAATGCTTCAACTGAAGCAAGTATGGTGGGGCATTTAGGGCAGAAGGCTGCAACCTGAGGATACAACCAGGTATTATGAGGAGTTGGAGCTCATCAGGAGGACAAGGCCTTCAAGTCCACACAGTATTTAAGTCACCTTTGTTTAAACCCAGTTAGTCCATCCACAGTACTATGGTTTTGATCAATGCCTCATATATCTGGATGGTGAGTGGATTATGGGGTGGTATAGCTGGCCTACTGTTGGGATTCTGGGCCTGATTTAAAGATTCAGTCACTAGGACCCCTCTTTTTTTCTGATTCATGTAAGCCATTCCATCTACAGCATGCCTCCTCCATGCCCTTCTGCCAAGCTTTCCTGCCTTGGAGCCAGCAGACCCAGGACTGAAATGTGAGCCAAAATAGCTCTCTCATCCCTCAAGTTGTGGGAGTCACATATTGGGTCCCAGCAACAAGGGAAATAACTATGACAAGGAGCTTCAGCCCTGGTGGAAAAGGCAAGCATGGTGACCTCACTGCTCACTACTAGGGAAGTCAAATGGGAAAGACCATGTGGACAGGATGGTGTGTTAAGTCCAGGTGCAAAATGCTCACTGAGGTATACTGGTAATGCCAAGAGCTAAGGCCAGGAGTTTGCTCCAGTGCTGTTATTAACGTCAGGATCTTATGGGCAGAGACAAGCTAGAGCCAAGCAGGGAAGGACATCAGGAAGGAGGCAACATGAGAATTGCTAGAGGGTTAAGGCCAAGGGCTAAGGCCAGGTGGATCCAGCAAGGTCAGGCCAGGTGGCAAAGCTGCATGGGTAAACTATGGGTCCGCTCGAGTGAGGACAGATACAGGAGGTCAGGCAGCCATGGCGACCGGGTCAAGGCTAAATCCCTAAGGAAGGTGGAGGAAGTAGCTATGTCCAGGAGCCTATGATAGAATAATGCCAGGAAGGCAGAGCTTGAGAGCAGGTCTGAGGGAAACTGGAGCAATCCTATCTGTGACAGCTGCTTCCTTACCTTCACATGGGGAAGACAGTAGTTTTGACCCCGTGGTTCTACACAGGTGCAACTTGCCGAACAGCACCTGGCATATTCCAGCTCCCATTAGAGGCCTCTTGTCATGACTTTCCCCATACAGTGGAGCAATGAAACACTCACCTTCATCCTGGCATGCGACAGCCGTTTAGGATGGCCCATCTCACTTGCTCCTTTGCCATGGTGCCCCAGGCCTTCCACAAGTCAGAAATGTTCCTGGCTCTCCCACAGGGTAGGCTTCGCTTTGTGACTCCACAGCAGTGGCTCTCTGCAGTCAGGTGGCCAGTGCCCTCCTTGTGTATGATCCTTGGTCAATACTAGAGGAGATGGAAGAGACACTGGGGTCAGGCACTGGGAGGGCTGGGGAGGGGGCTGCTCCTTCAGCCAGCAGCAGCAGAGCCTGTGGCAGACACGACAGGAGCAGGGTCCTGCCTCAGTGGAACTCCAGCACTGACCCAACCACAGAGGTGATGCAAATAGCCTAGGTAGGGAAGTCATGAAAGTCCTCTTTCATGATTAAAAGAATATATTTGGTGAATGCTGCTGCCAATTGCCATCTGATAGATAGGCAGGATCAGGAAAACATGACCAGAAGCATGACCACGTGTTTTCTTGCATCTTATTCACTAGATCTGGCACCACATGGAACTGGCTCTTCCCCAAAGTCGAAATGACGGTGGGAGAGAATGATTCAGGACATGCAGGCAGCCGTGAAGGTGCCACTAAAGACCCACACGAAAGAGGACTTCCTGAGCTGCTGCAGAACCTGGCAAGAATGATAGTATGAGAGTGTGTGAATTGAGGAGTATTTTTAGGAGGATTAATGGCAATGTGTCTTTTACCCTAATAAATTTTTTTTGTCCCTAACACATTTTTTAAAATTTAAATAGTCACCCTGTTTTTAAATCATGTCTTACACATGCTCATGTTTGAAATGTGTATTATGTCACTGCTCACCAAAATGTGTTTCTCATGTCCACCAACACAGGTGGCACAACAGAAATGCAGGTTGCTTTCTGCCAGCTGGAAAGAAACCTTTCTGGCTGCTTTCCTCCACCAAGGCCTCGGCCCTCACTCATATCAAGTCCCCAGGCTGCCCAGTCCACCTTACTCATCCCCCCATAATAAAATTCCTATTGCTCATCCCAATATGGGGTTGACTATAGAACTCTTTGCTGAAGCTCCATGCAGCTAAGGTGAAGTTAAATCAGCCCTTCCTTTTCCCCACTCTAAGACCCAGCACCTGCTTGTCCCTCAGTCCTCTTCACCGTCTGCCTTTAAAAGGGACCAGCAACTACTGACGTCAGTCACAGCTTTCCCAGGCTGGGCCAGAGCAGAAGAGAAAACAGTGGCTGTCAGCTCCCCTTCAGGTCTGAGAAAAGGAGGACAGCACCCACCCCCCACAAGAATTACAGTGTCTGTTGAGTGAGATCATTTGCAACTACATGCACCCTCAGGCAGGAGGATTGCAAATTTGAGCCCAACCTGGGCAATTTAAAGAGCTAGCTCAAAATAAAATAAAGGTCTTGGGATGTAGCTCAGTGGTGAGGCCCTGGGGTCCACTGCAAGTTGCACTAAAAAACCAAAACAAACCAAAACAAAACACAAACCCAAGCAGACAAGAAGGGAACTTCGACCCAAATCAACCCCATAAACTAGATCAACAAACTGGGAGAAAGAAACAGCCAGAAGTAAACTTGAAAATAACTGCTTAATGTGTTCTAGAGATTAAATCTCAAGATTGAGTATTTCAATAAAGAACTACAAATTGTGAAAAGAGGTAGGCCTAGGGGCCGGGGATTTAGCTCAGTGGTTCCACTGCCCACCTCGCAAGTTCAAGGACCCGAGTTCAAACCCCGTACCCCCCCCCCAAAAGAGAGAGAGCTAGGCCTGGTGGCACACACCTGTGATCCCAGCACTTGGGAGACTGAGGCCGGAGGATCATGGAGAGTTCAAGGCCAGCCTGGGCTACACAGCAAGACCTTGTTCTCAAAAATAGAATAAATAGAAACCTGAAGGTCATTCTAGAACTGAAATACATCATTAACTGTACACCTGAGGTGGCAGATACAGAAAGCATCCAGTTTGTTACAGCCTGCCACGGTGGCAGAGGACTGTAATCCCATCTACCTGGGAGGCTGAGGCAGGGGGATTGAAAATGCAACCCCAGCCAGGGCAACCCATCTCAAAATAGAAAGGGCTGGGGATGTAGCTGTGTGGTTGTGTTCTTGTGTTCCTTTCCTAATACAAAACAAAAAGTCCAGTTTGAAGTAGAGGAACTACAATGACAAAGATCTGTAAGGAAAACAACACATTTTTAAAAAGCCTTTTGAAGAGTCAACTTTCATATTAACACGTCAGTGTAAGTTAGGAAATTTTAGTATCTCGAGGGCAAAGGACAGTGATTGTAAGGTTCTTTTTTTCCTTACCTCCTCCCTTCTCATTTCAAAAAAATCGATAACTTAATCTAATAAATCAAATAAGGAAATGCCCTAAAATGTAGGAGCTGAAGGTGGTCAGGGTACCAAAGTCAAGAGAGACCACGGACACAGCTGGACGTACAGTCAGAGAGACTCAGCTCTGGGGCAAGACCAAATATCCAGGGAGCAAGGCTGGCCCAGAGCCACCAGCACAGGACTTATATACCAGGAGGACTTCAATGGCAGCAGACTCTATAGCATCTGCCTAGCCTGCCCCAGACCTTGAGTTTTGAAAACAAAACTTCAAATAAAAAAAAATAAAAGGTAAAAACCCTGCAGGGAAGACTCCAGGCAGGGTGGTAACAAGAAATCCATGTCCTCGGGGAAGAATCTTTTGAGGCCAGGTCAGAGAGGGGCCAGGAGAGCCCATGGTACATTTATAAACAATGAGAAATGTAGCAAGTTCCAGGGGTCACAGATGGGGCAATTAACTAAGAAAATAGGTCTTTTGCAAATGGGAGGGGGGGACCAAAAGAGGGAGGGGAGGGAGAGGGAGACGGAGGGGAGGGGAGGGGAGGGGAAGGGAGGGGAAGGGAAATTGTTCTGCAAACGTGGACTAATAAAAAAAATTAAAGAAAATGCCCAGCCTGTAATCCCAGCACTTGGGAGGCTGAGGCAGGACGATTGCCATGAGTCTGAGGCCAACCTGGTCTACATAGTGAGTTTAAAGCCAGCCTGAACTACATAGTGAGACCCTGTCTCAAAAAAAAAAAAAATGCCCAAAAACCCCTATAAAGCCCCAGCAAATGCAAAGTTTGGCAACTGTATTCTCCAAGGCAACCAAATTATACTGGAAGACTGACAGCTCAGGGGGATTTCCTCAGCTTGCTTCTTTTTAGCTGGAGTTGACCATCTTAGCCTCTGATTCCTTCAGGTTCCTGTGGTCACCTAGCCCTGGTCACCAGAATCCACCTTCCTTGCCTGTTCACCTGGAAGAGCACTGTTCTCCCATTCTGAGCACTGAAACCCGAAACACCCGCCCTGCCTGCAGCCCATCCAGAGGGCAGCAGCCAGCACTGCCTGCCTGGGCTTCTTGCTTGGGATTCACCAACTCACTTCCTTTCCCTGCACACCACTGTTGGAGCCTAAGGAGTCCACCAATCTGCAGACCCACTGGGTTTGCCTCAATCCCCGATTTTCTTCCTGAAAAACACCAAATGATGCTTTCTTCTGCAACAGGCACAGATACAAACGGCAGGGTGGAGTAACCCACCTCACAGGTCCCAAACTGTTGTACAGTACTCGCGAAGGCCCTGAGCAGGGAAGCGGGTGGCAGGTGGGATATCATTTTTAGGCAAATCCCTACCCAAAAGAACAAGATTCACTTTTTTCCTCATTACTAGGGGTGGAACCCAAGGCCTTCACACTAGCTGCATCCCCAGCCCTGGTTTCATTTTGAGAAAAGGTCTCACTGAAAAAGAACCACCATGAGTGAGTGAGGTCAGTGGCTCCTGAAGACCAGTAGGCGCACTCCAGGTCCTGCCCTGGGGACCCAGACTCCTATAGGACCTAAGCTGCGAGGTGACGAATGCTCTTTGGAATCAGTAAGATGCAGGATAGAGACATTCTGGGTGACCACCTAGCCCCAGCCCATCCAGTCACTACCACTAGCACAACCCCCAGCTCAAGGCAGAGTCCCCAGTGCGGTAATAAGGTCATCACCTAAGTATATTCCATGTACATAAGGTGGTGCTCACTTACAATCCCAAACACTCTGGGAGGCTGAGGCAGGAGGATTGAAAGTACGAAGTCAGGCTAGGCAACTTAGTGAGACCCTGCTCAAAACAGCAAAGCCAAAAAAGGCTGAGGATGTAGCTCAGCTTTCCTTGGGTGCAACTGCCAGCCCCCCAAAAATGGGGAGGGGGGCGGTTAGGGTAGCAGAAAGGGAGCTTCAAATAAATCACATTGCTGAGATTGCAAAATAAATTAATACCTTTGGGCACGGGGATACAGCTTGGTGTAGTGCATGCTCTTCATTAAGCACATGAGGCCCTGGGTTCATTCCCAGTACTGCTAACATACAAATAACACATATTTAAGTTTGTGTAACAAGCCCAGTGCTCCCAGTGTAGGGAGAAGAGAAAGCCAAGATCCACACCAGGGCCAGACAGAAGCCCCGGAAAAGGAGCTGGCTGCTTCCTCCCCTTCCCTTGCTCCTCCTCACAGCAGAGGAGGACCCCCACCCCCTGTCCCCAGCAAGGGTGCTGGTGAATCAGTCACACCCCAAAGGATGGCAGCAGCCCAAGCCCCCAGTGTCCTCTGTGGAGCTGCAGTGCAGCTCAGGGTACGGTAGCAAGTGTAGAGCACTAGCCTAGCAAGCACCAGGCCCTGGGTTCAATCCCCAGGACCACAAAAAAAAAAAAAAAAAAAGCTGAAGCAGAATTCCAAGCAGGCGGCCAGCTAGGCAAATGTCTCCACAAAAACCCTTGTTCTCCTATACAGCTTTTGGTGTACACTGTCCAACAGGCAAAGAAAAAATAGCCAAGTAAGCTGAGGGTGGAGGTGGACACCAGTAATCCCAACACTCCAGGGGGCTGAGGCAGGAGAATGGCAAGTTCTAGCCCAACCTGGGCAACTTAGAGAATCCCTGTTTAAAAATTTAAAAAAGTAAGAAGAGGCCGGGAGTGTAGCTCAGTGCTGAGGCCCTGGGTTCAAATCCTGGTTTCACACAGACAAAAAAAACAAAAACAAAACCCCAAGCAGACAAGGTAGCAACTACCACCCAAAATCAACCACACAGAACCAGACTGGTAGAAATTGAGATAATGAAGTCACAGGGAAAGAATAGAAAATAACTGATTAATATGTTCACGAAATTAAACTTTCAGCA